TCCAGTCCCTACCTTCTGCCCCCTCCGCGTCCTCTCGGCCCCTTTCCCTGGCCCCATCCCCACTCGCCCGCCCTCACCTGCCCCCACCGTTTCTCCCTCTCACTGCTTGACTTTTGCCTTCTTCACCTCCCTCCCCTTAGTGCTTCGCCCACCCTCCGCCCGCCCTCTCCCCAAGTTCCTTCCTACTTCGTGCGCCTTCCCCTCCTCCCCAAGCTAAGGGAAGCAGGCTGGGTGACAGGGCGCCTTGTTATGAGAGGGAAAGTTTTGAAGCCGCGAGTGTGGGGTGGGAGCGATGGTTGGGGAGGATACTTGCAGGTTTGAGGGGCCGCCCCAGATATTAGAGGAGAATCCCAGTTGGAGCTTATTTGAAGCCTGTGGGATAGGAGGTGCTGAATCTCCTTGCCTTAGGCTTGGGGGGAAAGCAGGAGCTTCTCAGGATCCTGGGAGAAGACCCAAATGAACCAGATTAGAGATTGTCCAGTGGAGCAGGCAAGAGGGGAGTTCTGTTGGTACCACCCCAACGGGCAGTTGGACAATTGTCTGGTGACCTGTGGGGCAACCTGTACTTTTTATATGATCTTCCTGGGGTGGGGGGGAGGCAGGGAAGGGAACAGTAGAGGCCAGACTCTCTGGGAAACTTCCTAGTGGCCTGGCATTATGGGAATCTGCCCACACTGCTGGGTGAAGTCTTCTGTCCCTGATGAGACAAAAGGACCCTGCCCTTTATGTCTAAGGATTGGGCTATGATTCTTTGGTCCCTTGGAGTTGAGGCTTTGACCCTCTGGTCCTTAGGGACTGCACATGGAAAGGATGGTGTGGACTCAACCAGCAGATCCCTGAGATTTTTATGGACACTTACTTCATTAAGGATCTTTTTCCCTTGAGAGTGTCTTGAGCTGTGGTGCTCTCCTGAGCTAGGCAGATTACTGACAGTCCCTTCTCTCTTCTGTCTCGCAGGTGTGGGCTAAGCCGGCGGCCCCGGCTTTAGACTGGACCCCACAATGTTTGCAGAGATGTTCAGGTAGCCATGGTGGGATGGCAGAGGGTTCCCCCTTATTCTTCTTCCCAGCTTGCTGAGGGTTTTCCCTTACCCCTGAGTTCTCGGGTTTCCCCACAAAACCTTTGCCTTCCTGGAGTACTCCCTCAGGTACCCAGCCCAGTTTAATCCTTCTAATGCCCACATGGATGTGTGTGTCATCAGGCACGTGGGAGCTGATTACACACAATGAATGGGGGCAATGAGAGCAGTGGAGCAGACAGAGCTGGGGGCCCTGTGGCCACATCTGTCCCCATCGGCTGGCAGCGCTGTGTTCGAGAGGGTGCTGTGCTCTATATCAGGTATGGATCCTCAAAGTTCCCCAAATTCTATCCCCAGGCCCTTTGGTTGCCTGAGTTCTCTCTCTCCCACCCACCTCTTAAAGCCCAGATCTCTGGTACCCTGTTCCTTTCCTGTTCCTCCTTTCTTCCTCCCTCAGCCTTTTTGCTCTCTGTATCTTTGGTCCTTTGAGTCTGTTCTCTTTCTGTCTCTTCCCACATCCCTTACCCTCATCCCTTCCTAAGAAAGTCTTTGACTTAGGAACTGTCCTCTGAAAGTGTCTCCTGAGTCAGTGTCAACTAACCCCATATTCTCTGACCCTCTTAGCCCAAGTGGCACAGAGCTGTCTTCCTTGGAGCAAACACGGAGCTACCTCCTCAGTGATGGGACCTGCAAGTGCGGTCTGGAGTGTCCACTTAATGTCCCCAAGGTCAGAGTGGTGAGGGGTGCCACAGAGTACAGGGATAAGCTGGGAGACTTAATGCAAATCATGTCCTTGTCCACTCTTGTCACAGATTCAACTCCCTCAGGGTCCCTGTCTGCACCTTTTACCTTACAGGTTTTCAACTTTGACCCTTTGGCCCCGGTGACCCCGGGTGGGGCTGGGGTGGGGCCAGCATCAGAGGAGGACATGACCAAGCTGTGCAACCACCGCAGGAAAGCTGTTGCCATGGCAACTCTGTACCGCAGCATGGAGACCACCTGCTCACACTCTTCTCCTGGTGAGTTTTCACTTTATAAAAGACTAAGGACAACTTAAGGGTCTGGAAGAGGGGTGGTGGGAGGAGTTCCATGAGAGGGAACAAGAAGGATGGAATGGGGAGCTGCTTGGTGAGAGGAGGGCACAGTGAGATTGGGAATTTATGGGATGAAGAAGACAAGAAGATTCTTAGAAAGGAAGCCACAGGCTAACCTATCATTTCTCATTTATTGCAGGAGAGGGAGCGAGCCCCCAAATGTTCCACACTGTGTCCCCAGGGCTCCCCTCTGCCCGCCCTCCCTGTCGAGTTCCTCCCACAACTCCACTTAATGGGGGTCCTGGCTCTCTTCCCTCAGAACCATCCTCAGTTCCACAGGCCTTTCCCCCTCTAGCAGGCCCTGGGGGGCTCTTCCCACCGCCAAGGCTTCCTGACCCAGTCCCCTCTGGAGGCAGCAGCAGCCCCTGTTTCCTCCCAAGGGGCAATGCCCCCTCTCCAGCTCCTCCTCCTCCACCTGCCATCAGTCTCAATGCCCCCTCATACAGCTGGGGGGCTGCCCTCCGATCCAGCCTGGTGCCCCCTGACCTGGGCTCTCCTCCAGCCCCCCATGCCTCCTCCTCACCACCTTCAGACCCTCCTCTCTTCCACTGTAGTGATGCCTTAACACCCCCTCCTCTGCCCTCAAGCAATAATCTCCCTGGTCCCCCTGGCACCCCTGGTCCTGCCACTCAGCCACCAGTGTCTTCAGCCACTATGCACCTGCCCTTGGTCCTGGGACCCCTGGGAGGGGCCCCCACGGTGGAGGGGCCTGGGGCACCCCCCTTCCTTGCTAGCAGCCTACTCTCTGCAGCGGCCAAGGCACAGCATCCCCCCCTCCCCCCTCCCAGCACTTTACAGGGCCGAAGGCCCCGTGCCCAGGCGCCCTCAGCCTCCCACTCATCACCCCGTCCCTCTCAGCGTCGTCCCCGCAGACCCCCAACTGTATTGCGATTGCTAGAAGGGGGAGGCCCTCCTCAAGCCCCTAGACGGAGCCGTCCTCGGGCCCCTGCTCCTGCTCCCCAACCCTTTTCTCTCCCTGAGCCATCCCAACCGATTCTCCCTTCTGTGCTGTCCCTTCTGGGACTCCCCATCCCTGGCCCTTCCCACTCTGATGGAAGCTTTAACCTTTTGGGGTCAGATGCACACCTTCCTCCTCCTCCAACCCTCTCCTCAGGGAGCCCTCCCCAGCCCAGGCACCCCATCCCACCCTCCCTGCCTGGGACCACCAGTGGCAGCCTCAGCAGTGTGCCAGGTATGTGAGTGTGATAGAGGCCCTCCTCCCCTAGGTGGAAAGAAGTAGCTAAGGCATTTAGAGGAGAGTGGTTTTCTGGGTTGGGGGCAGGGAGGTTGGGTTCTTGGGACATTGGGAGAAAGGGCCTCCCTTGAGCTAAATCTCTCTTTTCCTTTGCAGGTGCCCCTGCCCCACCAGCTGCCTCCAAAGCCCCCCTCGTTCCTAGCCCTGTGCTTCAAAGCCCATCTGAAGGGCTTGGGATAGGGGCGGGCCCAGCCTGTACTCTGCCTCCCCTGGCTGGTGGGGAGGCTTTCCCTTTCCCCAGCCCTGAGCAGGGCCTGGCACTGAGTGGAGCCGGCTTCCCCGGGATGCTAGGGGCCTTGCCTCTCCCTCTGAGTCTGGGGCAGCCTCCACCTTCTCCATTGCTCAGCCACAGCTTATTTGGCGTGCTGGCTGGGGGAGGGGGACAACCTCCCCCTGAGCCCTTGCTACCCCCACCAGGAGGACCTGGCCCTCCCCTAGCCCCAGGCGAGCCCGAAGGGCCTTCGCTTTTGGTGGCTTCCCTGCTTCCACCACCCTCTTCAGACCTTCTTCCACCCCCTTCTGCACCTCCTAGCAACCTCCTTGCCTCTTTCCTGCCCCTGTTGGCCCTGGGCCCCACAGCTGGGGATGGGGAGGGATCTGCAGAGGGCACTGGGGGTCCAAGTGGGGAGACATTTTCAGGTTTGGGAGACCTGCCCCCGCTACTGTTCCCCCCACTTTCAGCTCCCCCCACCACCCTCATAGCTTTAAACCCTGCGCTGCTGGCTGCCAGCCTGGATCCCCCCTCGGGGACACCCCCCCAGGTGAGGATAAGGGGGTGAGTGGGTGGGACAGAACAAGAAGTAGAATCAGAGGTGGGAGCTGGGAATCAAAGGCTTTCAGTTTCATGCCTGAGCTCTTCCTTAGGGCCTTTGGGGAGGGTTTAGTGCTTGGCTGAGGGTAGAATGGCTGTGGGAAGAATGGCTGTGGGAACTGGGTCTGTATTTAATAAGCGTGGCCTACTTCACCTGAGGTTTCAATGAGATTGTACATGTGAAAGTACAGTAATACCTTAGTTTGTGAGCATAATTCGTTCTGGAAATAAACTACTTGTATTGCAAGACATCACTCGTTTACCACGTTAAAATGTAT